GATAGAAAATACAATCGCAAGTTCCAAGCAAGCAACTCACAAATGAATTTTTGAACACAGACTCTTGACACACGTGCCTGCCGGTACTTGTCTCAGAGTCTAAAAGCTCAGCCTGGGCTCTTCTTTAATCCTAGACATGTCAGTCTTTTCCAGGCCAGAGTTCATTAAAATTATTGTTGTGACAGTCCCCGCTCCGCCTCCGAGATGCATAGCAGATCTTCCTGATGGGTGAGGTATGCGGAGGGGCAGCCCCCCCTGAGAATGGGACCCGGGGAAGAAAGAGCAGAGCCTCACCTGAGGCTCACACCTGTCAGCATGGCGGCTGTGGTTCCCTGGACCCCGCGCCCAGGAAACCGGAAATAGACCCTCCCAGCTGGGAGCTGTGCAGAGCACATACTGGTCAGCAAGTATTTGAGCACAGAACATATAAGCCACGGCCCCTGCTTCCAGGGAGATGCAAAGCAAATGTATGTAAAAGGATAACTAATGATACCGATAATCAATGAGGAATGACAGACAAGCAGAGAGAGATCATCTTGGGCTGGGATGGTGAGGGAAAGCTTCCTGGATAGAAACCGAAGCCAGGTGCAGGGTGGGGGTGCACTGGGCATGCTCAGTGGCCCAACCGCCTCTGATAACCTGGGGTACTTGTTAACAGTGCGGCACTCACATGGAGCTCTTTATTAGAATCCCTGGGGGATCAGCCCAGGAATCTGCTGTTATAAGTTTCCCAGTGACTCCAAGTCACTGAAAGGAACAAGCATGTATCGGTGAGGGCCTGTGGAAGAGGATGGAAGACTTAGCTTCTGGTTCAAGCTGACCACTTGTGCTGTGGGCTGTGATTCACTTAGCCAGTTTCCCTGAAGGGGTGAGAAATAGAAAAGCAGAAGGGCTGCATATGTGTGCTGGCATAGTGACCATCAATTCACTGTCATGTATTGATTCTTTCTATGTGCTAGACACTGAGTTAAGCATTTGTCATACTTTTATGTAATTCCCACAACAGCCTTTGGGAAACAGGAAGTTTAATGGCCTGCTTTTACACATGAGGGAATGGAAGCTCAGAGAGATTAAGCAACCTGCCCAAAGTCACACAGCCAGTAAGTGGTGGGTCTGGGATTCCAGTTCATTGTGTGACAGGAGGGCCATGGGTTGTGGACACACGGGGACTATTAAATGATGCCTCAGGAAGGTGGTTAGTCTGGGCTTTGCTGTTTGTGTTCACTACAGGAGGGCTATTCATGCCTGCCTAGTTCAGATCCGTTTCTTGTCATTAAAGTGAAGACAAATAGACCGTTTTACTTTTGCCCCGCCTCTGCAGTGACCTCCACCCCACCACAAGTGGCTGATCCTCTACGTTTGACACTCTATGCAGAGAGAAGCTGGAAGCTATCCTCGTCCAGGCAGGGAAGGACCTAGACCCTTTTCCTTTCTCATGGTCACTGGCCCAAAATGGCCCTGAGGATTTTAGCCTATTTAATTCCTCTCCAAAAAAAAAAAAAATTAAACTGATTGTCTCATACAAGGTACTCTTTGGATAAGAAGATGGTTATGATAGTGGAGTTCATTTCTACCCCATGGCTTATGACTTAAGACACTGCACACCTCAGAGGACTCAACAGGCCCTTCGACAGATACAAATACAAACCACCATCTGACACTGTGGAGACGTGACCCAGAGGTGCCTAACATCCAGGGTCTTGTGACAGAAGCTGTGCAATTTAATAGAAGGAAGGCTTTTAAAACCCGAGGGCAGCTCTGGAGCCAGAAACGTAGGGTATCCGAATCCACCGCGTCAAGTCAGTGGAAACCTCCATTCACCTTGGGAGGTGTGACATGTGGAAGCTGCACCGGCCTCTCCATCCTTAAGCATGCTGGTGTGTTCCTGCCAGTCAGATTCTGGCCTTGTACCACGGACTCCATGAAGGCAGGAATGGGTCTGCCGTGTCTGCAAGAGTCTAGCCCGTAGCAGGCAGACAGTTTGTCTCTGCTGAATTAGTGCGGTTGGTGGCAGAGGGCCTACATTCTAGGCACCTCAGCTCCATAACTCCTGTCATCCTCGTAGGTGAATAGAGAAAGCAAATTGTCACTTGGCTAAAACCTATAATTATTCTTATCTCAGCGGTAAAGCCATAATTCATGCTGGTTTTCGTTTTTTGTGGGGGAAGTTGTTTGTTTTTTTTTTTTGAAAATGAAAATTGAGTGTCCTGAGAAATGAACTCACTTTGATCTCGACACGTGAAGTCAAAGTACAAAATTTCTGTAGTGCTTCTGCTTAGAATGTGCTGAGGGCGTCAAACAGACAAGTAGCACCACAGACATTTCCAAAGGGCTGGGTAGTTTCCTGACTAATCACTATAATTACATGCTCGTTCAGATACTGGTTCCCCAGGCTACAGAGACAGTTTGTGGAAAGAGGAGTGGAGATTTGATCAGGAGAAGTTTAAATAGAAACAATCCCTTTTACTAGCCGGGAGGTGGCCCACTCCCCGGGGCGAGAGGAAGCAGGAGTGTGAACAGAAAGTCGACTCATTCCGTCAGCTGCACCACTGTGTGCGGCCCCTCATGTGTGGAGACTTGGGGGATGAGGCCCCTGCATGTCAGGCTGTTGTCCCACCACAGAGCTGGGTTACGTGCCCAGCACCATCCACAGCCTGTCACCTGCTCAGCATGGGACAACAGCACATATTCAAGATGCAAAGGAAGGCTTCTGGGGCGGTTTCTGGCCATGGAGAAACTCAAGTCTGCTTAGAGGAGGTCACAGCTGTAATGACCCTGTTTGCAGTCTCTTTACCCCGCAGGATAAAAATACTTTTTTAAAAAGAAAGCTTTTAAGAGAGCATTCTTAGATAGCAACCTTCTTAACATCTCTTACTTCTATATTCCTGGACCAGCTTGCTCTCAACCATTGTTATCTGCTGATCCCAGTAGGAAAAGCTGGTCAGTGCTCTGCAGAATCAGGAAAGTGGGAAAAGAGTCCGGATCCACAGGCAGCATCCTGCTGGCAGAAGGGGCCCAGGCCTGGCCATCTGCTCCTGGCTGACAGATCAGTATCCCCATGAGGAGTTTTCTTCTAAAAAAGCAGAGGAGTGAATTGAGGAAAAGGGGATGGGCACCTCATGCTGTTTGGTGGTTTCGTGTGGCTATAACTTACCTGTTCGCACCCCAGGTTCTCTGACCGGCCTGGGAGCACAATAAGAGAACCCCAGAGCTGGATGGAAGGAGACCAGCCTCCGGGGAGAGGCAGCCTGAAGTCACGATTGGGCTGAGGGACCCTCTTAACAGGTTTTCTTGCAACTTGGGCCATTTCAGCTATTGATGAGATTTTTTTTTAAAGGCTGGGGGATATTTCAGGAAACAAGACCACTGTAATGCTCAGCAAAGACAGAGACTGGTGTATTATTCTTCTAGGAGCTGCTCATTATGGTTGCCAGGAAGTCAAGATCAGATGCCTTGGGGGCTGAACCCCTGAGGACCCTGAGGAACACACATTGCCCCCTAAAACTTTACCAACCCTCACGCGTTTTCCAGCTTCCCTGCAGAGTGCCCCGAGGGAGAAAGTGAATGAAATCTAGAACAAATCGCAGGACTCCTGCAGCAGGAGGGTGACAGAGCCCTGGTATGGCTAAATGTTGATTCCCTGGCCAATGTGTTCTTCCGAGATTGGTGACGTCTCCCTTCCAGAGACAGCGGTGGACGTGCTGGAGAAACGTTGGGTGATACAGTTGCTCTTTAAGCTTCAGTTTAAATGAGAAGAAAGTTGTGATGTTAAAGATAGGGAGACATTCCTATAGAAAATTTTGGGTAAATTTTGAAGGTGGAGAAAGACCAGGGAAGGGGGACTTCAGTTGCAGGCGGGTTCTGTCAGTTGGGTGCTGTCTGACTGGCCGCACGTGGTAAAGCTCTTTATCTCTGCCATCTGGTCTTCAAGTCCTTCAGTGTTTAATGTGGAAAACATGCAGCTGATATAGGCCAGAGAGAAGTACAGAGGCCTTCAAACAACATAACCAGAGACTGCCAAGTTCAGGTTTAATTTAGCTGTGTATTGAATATAAGGACATCTCATCATGTCTCCAAAAAAAAAAAAAGCTTAAAATAAAAGTCCCTTACCCTGGTAAATGGTTATTTATGGTGGATGAGAGAATGTGTGGTTATTTTAAAAGTCCATCAAGTCGAGTTGAGGTCCCAAGGAAGCAGGGAGCAGGCAAGGCTAGACAGCAGCATAAAGATGAGAAGGATGGGGTTTTATCTGGATCACTCTTTGTCAGAAATTCATATTCTTCAATCGGTCGTGTTTTCATCCTTGAGCCTGGGATAGGGTTGGGGGTGGGGCCAGACAGTTAGACGGGGTAGAACGCAGGACACCTACACCACCACCCCCCACACACACGCACGCACACTGGCTACCTAGAGCTCCTTTCTCTCTTGCTACTGTAACATTTTTGGCAGTAGTCAATCCCTTTACAAATTTCATTTTCTACCTTAAAGAAGAAAAGAACCCAGTAGACACAAAACTCTAATTACTTGCATCCCCTAGTGTTCATTGCTAATCCTCACCAGTATTTAGGTGCATAGTCATCAGTGTGAAGCTGCTACTGAATCTATTAATTTTTCACTCACTGCATTTTTGTCTTCACCGTTCCACATGTGGATAGTTAAGTTATAGTCACCGAAAGCCCCAAATAGGTAGGAGACATACTCTGCCCTTTTTATTAGCTACCAGTTCCTAGCCAGCTTCTGACTGATGGACTTGGAGGCTTAGTGTCAGATATCGGCAGTTTTCAGGAATAGAGGTATCAGTCATCTCTGGACATCTTTTTCTAGAAAAGTATAACGCAGCTTGAGCTAAGCAGAAACATGTTTCGACTCCTCACTGTTTCAAGAGTTTGAAAAGTTCAGGCCCAGAAGAAATGAAGTTAGCTGGAAGGTCTTGATTCCTTACTACTTTATAACAGGCTATAGGTTTAAAGTCCAAAAGGGCTTGGATTTCTCCCCCATGTTTGATGTCTCAGATCCTGGGAGCTGAGCTGACTTCCCTGCACCTTGGCCCACGGCAGTGACATGAAGGCACCGCAGGCTGGAGGCACATGCGGACAGAGACACCAGCCACGCTGGCATCTGTAACCTGCAGGCTCTTCCAAGGTGGACGAGAGGTGACCCCACCTGCCCACTGTTGCAGAAAAACAAGTGGATTAGCCTCAGGAGTTGCTGGAAAGGGGCAAGAAGAATGAATGGTGAGCGGCAGTGCCACTTAAGGCCCAGTCAGACTTGCAGAGGCATGATAGGAACGAGAAAGGCGAGGCAAAGATGGACTGAACACAGCTGGGAGCTGCTAGAATCTGCCCAATGGTTTCTAAAAGCTGGCTTCCAGGAAGAGTGAAAAAGTCTGCAGCTAAGAAGCTGGGGTGCCTCACAAGGGTGGCCTTTTCACATCTCTCCTTTGCTCTTTTCCTTTTTAAGTCACATCTGTAGTTTATTTATCATGTACTTTGAGTATTCAGCTTAAATGATGGTGAGGACTGTCCCTAACTATTTGCCACCAGAAATTCCTTCTTTGTTACTCTTTCCCCCGTACAGCAACCAAGGCAAAGTAAGTGCTCTGAGAAGCTTTGTTGGAAGTGAGGCCTCTTGTGTTCTTCTGAGTCACTGGTAAACTCCAGGGTGGGATTCCAGTCCCTCAAAGTGAGGTCAATACTTTGTTCTTACCACAGCCTGTGTAAAAACCTCAGTTACTTGCTGTTTATTTTTGTTTTGTTGTTTTGTTTTTTCCTTTTCAGATTGCTTGATTGTGATTTGATACCTTGCATAGGTTGAAAAATGTAGTTGATTTTATTGACTCTCATGTAGCAAATAAGATGTCTCATGTTTAACAGATGCCTTTGTAATCCCATTGACTAATGTAATTTAAGATGTATGACAGGTTACCAAAGACAGATAAAATGCCTAATTCCTGTCCTCCTTTCTCTGTGTGCCTGTCCAGCAGAGCTCTCGACCCCACTGATGTAAAGTGCTGAGAAGACCCACAGATCCCAGCATCAAGAATTCAGGTCAGGTCCTCGGCACATGGACCTCAGGGTCATCTGCTAGCCAGCAAGATGGAGACCACACCCCTAACTTCCCAGAAGGAGCTGTCAGCGTGTAAGGATGGAGAAGATTGTCAGGAAAACGGAGTTCTGCAGAAAAGTGTCTCTGCCCCTGGGGATAAGGTGGAGTCCGGCCAAATCTCCAACGGGTACTCAGCAGTTCCGAGCCCAGGTGCAGGAGACGACACTCAGCACTCCATCCCAGCTGCCACCACCACCCTAGTGGCTGAGGGTCATCCAGGGGAACGGGAGACCTGGGGCAAGAAGATGGATTTCCTCCTCTCAGTCATTGGCTACGCCGTGGACCTGGGCAACGTCTGGCGGTTTCCCTACATCTGTTACCAGAATGGAGGGGGTCAGTATCATGGGCTGAGAGCAGAGGTTCTGACCCAGGGGTGGTCTGTATATCCTCTGAGGAGGCCAGAGGATAAATCATGTCTTTTCTGTCTTAAGTGGTATGAGTCTGGGAACATGATTGCTTAGACTTCCAAGTTAGTCTAAAAGCCAAATCTCCAATAAGCCAAAACTTGAAGTCAGCATGTCTGAGGCTCTCTGGGTTATGAAGTTGGACGAAAGCTCTCCCAAACCTGACCTCACCAGGTTTTCAGCATCATGACTGCTTCATTTGTCGAAGAGCCCCCTTCTCATCCCTTCGTCATACAAGCTCTCCGCCATGTGAGACGTGAGAGAATGAGCATCATCTCTGTGCTGAGTTCTCTCACTCCTGCTGGCAGGCTCTGCTCAGAAGAGTCCAGAGACGTTAGATCTATGAAAGGAAAAATTGGGAGGTGGCTCCTGGCACAGACCCTCCAGGCCCTTTGGACCTCTGTGAGGTCAGAAAGGGCAACAGCTCAGGTTCAGAGTCTTAAGTTACAATCTGGGCGTGATCCATAGCTGAGCCCAGCCACATCAGTATCAACTTTAAACCATATGTGGATTGCTTTGTATCTCCTTCAAGAGTGCTAGATTTTTGAGGCCAGGGACAATATCTTGTTCCTCCTTCTACCACTAATGTCTCCAGAGCAGTTTATTTGTAGATTATCAAAAATAGTAGCTGACAGTAGGCGTGGATGTGGGAGCCCTGCACAGTAGAGCAGGCGGGAGGAGTGGGTAGGTGTAGGGCCTCTGTTTTGACAGTGAACTTGCTATTGGAATAGGAAAAGGATGAGAAATGGAAGTCAAATCAGTTAATATTTATTTTGATAGGAGCTCTGGCAGCAGATTTGGGAGGGCAGCTAAAATAAGGTTTGGGGGATAATTCATTTGTGTCTCCCTCATTTCCTCCATGACCTGCCACAGAGGTGCCTAGATTTGCTGCACCTTTTAAAGACCTGGGTCCATACAACGGCAAAGCCTCTTTCAGGTGGGCCCGGGAAGCCCAGCGCTCCCAGCCTGGGAGGAGCAGAAGTTGGAATCACTTTATCTCCAGCTTGGGAGGACTCACCTTTAGCCTGAGCATTAATATAAAGGGCTGGGTCACTGGTGATACTTCCCCTACACTCATTTCCTACTCTAAAGCCAATCAAGCAAACCCTTTGGACAGATGCCACTGTGAGAACACAACGTGGTTCTTATTCTCAAGCCAGATTTATCCAGTGTGATTGTAAGATAGGTGAGACCTTTCTGAGGTGCACTGACTTCAGGTTTCAAGGTTCAAAACGCTTTACAGGAGGGAAAGTTATCAGGAAAAATCACAGCCATCCTTGGGGCTGAAACTCAGGCTGCAGGTGAGCAGTCCCCAGGGTAGCATTTCCAAATTCTGCCTCAGCCACAAGAGCCAGGAGGCAGCAGCATCTCCAGTGATGCAGCACTGTCTGTGGTTTCTCATTCTGTAGCAAACAACCTGCAGATTTCAACCATACCTGCAAATCTGGCTCAGGAGGAAGCATTCTGGCTCCATGGAATTGTGGAAATAGAGTCAAATATCAGTACTCAGAATAATCAGGTGTCTGGAGCCAGGGATACTAATTCAGTGGCTCATAGATTATTGCAGCTGTTGTGCAAGTTGTCCCAGAAGGTCTGTTCCGAGGGTCCCAGATGCTGGTTCATGTACTGGTTGCATCAGAATCATCTGGGGTGCTTAAAAAAAAATGTGTGTTATACCCATGCCTGAAGCTTCTGCTTCAGGAGGTCTGGCTATGTGTGTGTTTTTAAGCCTACTGGTGATTATGATGTGTGGCTGGGTTTGGGAACCTCAGTTCTCTTCAACTCTGTCATTTTCTAGCAGAGGAAATAGAGGCCCAGAGAGAAGGGTCCTCCAGGCACTTAGAAGTAGAACTTGTCCCATACCCTGTACTGTTGATTCCAAGACCCAGCTTCCTTTCCATTTACCCTCTGCTTCCTCCCCAACCTCCCTTCACTGTGGAACTCTGTCTACTACTACTTCTAGCAAAGCACTAAGACCAGAGGAGCACCGTGTGAGGTCACTCAACACAGGGTGGACTCATGACGCCGGAGCATCAGATGGCTCTGTGGTCCAGATCAGTTGGGCTGTCCTGGATCAGATGTGAGCAGGGAGTGAAATGTCTTTCATCTACCTCAGGGGCGTTCCTCCTCCCCTACACTATCATGGCCATCTTCGGAGGGATCCCACTCTTCTACATGGAGCTCGCGCTGGGTCAGTACCACCGCAATGGATGCATTTCGATATGGAGGAAAATCTGCCCAATTTTCAAAGGTAACAGAAAGTCTTGGGTGTTTGGGTGAGTGAGTGGGTCCCCCGAGGAAGTGATTCCACCAATAGGTGGGAGCTGGGGACCTTCTTCTGGAATCAGTTAAGCCTCAGGTATCCCTGGGAGATAACTTGAGTAATTGAGGTTTTGACTGCTCAAGCGATAGGTGATTGTTACGGTGAAACAGAATAAATGACAATTAAAAGTAAGCTAAATGGGAAATAGTTAAAGCATTAATAGCACACATTCATTTTCTAAAACACACAACTCTCCAAATACATATAAGGAATTTATCACACTGCCACTTTTCTGTCATCTCCCAGAGTCTTTGAGAAGTAAAATGAATGGCAGCCCCCACCTTTACCCCTCACCCAGGCTACAGTGCCTCCAATGTGCTGTCTCACTGTTGGGCTGCGCTTGAAACCTGGCCTCCCTCCCCATCTCCCCCAGGGATCGGTTACGCCATCTGCATCATTGCCTTTTACATCGCCTCCTACTACAACACCATCATGGCCTGGGCGCTCTACTACCTCATCTCCTCTTTCACGGACCAGTTGCCCTGGACCAGCTGCGAGAACTCCTGGAACACTGGCAACTGTACCAACTACTTCTCCGAGGACAACATCACCTGGACACTCCACTCAACGTCCCCGGCAGAAGAATTTTACACGTAAGTGCATGTAAGTGAGGGGGTAGCCTGTTAGGGGCAGGCCATACCCCTGGGGTCTGGGTTCTTAGGAGGAAAGTGGGGGCCAGGGGGTCTTTACCTCTTGGCTGATGGATTTCTGAAAGATGAAGCTATCAGGGAGGGGAGTAACTGTGAGTGAGGGAGTTGGGAGACTCTACCTTGAGTTCTCCACACTCTGGGCCCCTGTGCCATCCCCCTTCTTTCTGTTGTGCCCGGGCCAGTCCCTACCTTCACATTCCAAAATTACTCCCCTGCATCAAAACTGCCCTTCTTCCTGGGCCCTCCTCTCAGCCAGCTGTCATGGAAGCAAAGCCTCCCACTACTTCAGTGGTTTGAAACTACCCTGCGAGTTTCTGGTTTCATGTGTGTTCACTTCATACATGGGATCTACTTTTTGGAAGAAGATGCCTGGAGCAGGTAGTTTTCTTTAAAGCTGGAATTTCAGGCAATGGCAGCTCAAGGAGAGCTACTTTGTTGGGGGGCAGGGGCCCACTGCCCACACATACAAATCCTCACGCACCCCAAAGCCAGCCACGCTAGTCATTGGTTGGGTTCCAGCCTGGGAAGGAGAGACCTGGAAGTCTGCCTTTGGGCCACGTGCTCTTCCCAGGGCCGGCTGGCTGCCTGCGCTGATCTCTCCTTCAGGATGGGCAGAGCCCCTCCCCACTCTTCCTGAGGCTTGGTGACCACTTGGTCCTTGCAGCACAGTGTCTGTTTTTCCTTTTGGCATCCTCCCAGGGGTATCACACAGTGTGCTCAGGTCCCTGTTCAGACTTTGTCATGGCCCTTTCTTTCTCCTTCACCCCAGGCGCCATGTCCTACAGATCCACCGGTCTAAGGGACTGCAGGACCTGGGGGGCATAAGCTGGCAGCTTGCCCTCTGCATCATGCTGATCTTCACTATTATCTACTTTAGCATCTGGAAAGGCGTCAAAACGTCTGGCAAGGTGAGGAGGCCTCTGACTGCTGATCCAGGCCTGCCAACGGGCCCCAGAGGGTCTCAGACTCAGAACTCTGCAGCCCAAATGGCCAGAGAGAAGGCGGCGTGGTTTCCTTTATATCAGACACATTCCATGAGGCTCAGTCTCTCCTCACCGGATAGATTAGAAAATTCTAGAAATGGGCCAATCCCAAAAACCATTATATGACTTTTTAAAAAATTCCTTTAACCTACTGATGGTGTCACAACTAATAATAGTGGCCATGATTTATTGAAAACTCATCATGGGCCGCGTTCCATGCTTTATATACACTGGCTACTTCATTGCCTCCTGCTGGGCATTTTCCCCATTTTACATGTGGGGAGTGGGTTTAGAGGTAGTGCTGGCAAGCTGGGATCAGATTCCCATCAGATTCTAAAGGGTAATCTTTCTGCCACATCACCCTGCCTTCTAAAATTACAGAAAAAAAAAAGAGGTAGGTCTCCTTTTTGGAGGTTTTCAAGAATAAAAGACACCAGCATTCATGCAGTGATATCTTACGTTTCCTTCCTTACAGGTGGTTTGGGTGACAGCTACCTTCCCTTACATCATCCTTTCCATCCTGCTGGTGAGGGGGGCCACCCTCCCCGGAGCCTGGAGGGGAGTTCTCTTCTACTTGAAACCCAACTGGCAGAAGCTCCTGGAGACAGGGGTAAGATAATGAGGACAGCAGTGTGCACCTGTCGGTCTTCTTACTAATTGAAGCTAGTCCTCCAAATAGAACTGTAGGAACAACTGAAATTTGGGTTCAGTGGCCAGTCCTGCAATAATGCCTTAAATCATGAAATTATAAGCGTGAAAAGTACAGTTGAGGCCACTGGATTGGTTTATGCCTAAAAGATAGGAAGAGAAATCACATTTGTTTGCACTTGGCCTATGGCCATCCCTGGGATGAGCCCTGAGAGCCTGGTTTTCACCTCTGCACATGGCCATGTGGAGCCATGAGGGCGCTGGCCCTGCTGGTGTCCAGTGTTAGCCTGGGTCTCAACCCTGACGCTCACCTCTCTGTATTGCAGGTGTGGGTGGATGCGGCCGCTCAGATCTTCTTCTCTCTCGGTCCTGGTTTTGGGGTCCTACTGGCTTTTGCTAGCTACAACAAATTCAACAACAACTGTTACCAGTGAGTATCTGGGGCCCCCCAAGCAAAGCCTGAAAGTGAAACAAGCGTTAAGTCAGCTGGTCTGAAGGAAGGCAATGGAACCAATGGCCTTAAGCCTGACTGGGCTCGGGCCATGTCAACACTCTGACCCTCAGGGGTGCCACAAGTGCCTGACCAATTCACCCATGGCCAGAGCACCCACCCAGAGCGTAGCCTCATCCGGGTCACTCAAGGGCTGAGAGAGACCCCAGGCCACCTCTGTTTTGTGAAAGTCTCTGTCAAAAAAAATTTAAGAAACTCCAAAGCAGGTTTACAAAAATTGCAACATATATTAAATGTTTAGATTTCACTTGACAATGTATCTAACGACAAAAATTGTAATGCAATAATTTATTTATATATGTATACACAAAATATATAATGATTGAACTATTTTGACCTACACAAGATGCCATAATTTTTGTATCAAAATCTTATTTCAGAAATTCTGACAAAAGAGGGAGTGCTGCATCAGTTGTGATTTAAATATCACTCGTCGGAAGGGAGAGTCTAGCTTAGAGGTAGAGCGTGTGCTGAGCATGCACGATGTCCTGGTGTTCAATCCCCAGTCCCTCCACTAAATAAATAAATAAACCTAATTACTCCCCCCGAAAAATTTTAAAAATGAATAAAAAAGAAATATCACTCATCTAGAGCTAACTTTGTCTTTATGCTCTATCACAGATGGCAGTGTCCAGCAATCCAATTATATTATTCATAAGATAATTATGGAATATATATATATTTTGTTTGTTTGTTTCTTTGTTTTTTAAAAAGGAATTCACTTATCTCCTGGGCCGTGTGGCCTTACATTGGGACACCAGCCTGAAGTTGTATGATGAGGTCCTATTTTAGGTTCACTCTTGTAACCTCATTTGCACACAGTGTCAAAAGTCTAAATCTGAGGTCTTCACAGATGTGAGGCCAAGGCCCTCTCCTGGCCCCACGCAAGCCTTGTTTGAAATCCAGAGGCCTGTGCTGTGCTAGTGCACAGCAGGATCACCACGGCTGGAGACAAATGCACCTTAGGCTCCTGACTTGGAAATGTCTCAGTCCCCTTGGGTTTTCTGCTCCAGAGATGCCCTGGTGACCAGTGCGGTGAACTGCCTGACGAGCTTCGTTTCCGGATTTGTCATCTTCACAGTGCTTGGGTATATGGCTGAGATGAGGAATGAAGATGTGTCCGAGGTGGCCAAAGATGCAGGTAGGACCTCACGTTCTGTTTGAGTCCCTTGCTCCCACTGAATTGCTTTGCTGCTCCTTGGATCTTTGCAAATAACTAACTTTTGCACTATGAATAAATGTTCCTCTTAAAATTTTCAAAGATTTTAAAGAAAATTATTGCCTTGGAGATCTCAACCATTTCCATGTTTCGGCCATGGTGGGGATGGGACGGCTCCCTTGGCATCCAGTACTGGAGCCTTGGATGCACTGTGTGGGCTTGAAAATATGACTTTGGATGATAGCTTTTAAAATCAGTGGGTTTAGGTGCTGCGATGAGTCCAAGTCTAGTAAGGAAATGATTACTAATCCTCAGTATTTCCTTCTGCAGAAAAATTAATTGTAGATGATGTAGTCACTCATTTATACTGTAAGATTTCTTGGAAAAGTAGTGGCAAATGTTGAAGGAGGGATGATGGAATCTTATAGATGAGTTCCAGGACTTTCTTGCCAATGTACTTCTGTCTTTGGCCTGATGCAGTGCTCTGATCAACTCCACAGCCCAAACTAGGCACCCTGTCTCGTCCATGGAAGGTTGAGGACTTGTCCTTCATACTGTCAAAAAAGACTTCAAGCAGGGGGGGTATAGTTCAGTGGTAGAATGTGTGCTTAGTATGCACAAGGTCCTGGGTTCAATCCCCAGTACCTCTGTTTAAAAAATTAATTAATTAATTAAAATGAAAACAAACCAAATTACCGCCCCCCACCCAATCCTGCAAATGCTTTAAAAAAAAAAAAAAGGACTTCAAAATACTTGGAGGTCTTTATTCCAAGGCCTCTATAATTCTTCTGAAATCAGTTTAACATTTCATACTGTTCTGGAGCTAGAGACATCAGAGAGGGCTAAATACTGGAAGACTTAAGAGATATATCAATTCTGGCCCTGAAAAAAGCACTGAATTATTATATAGTGGAAACTCATAAATTATTGTGAGCAGCTTTGCTAGTCTTAGAGTCTCAGGTTTGTTTCCTTTCCCTACATTAGTTGAGGGCACACATTTTTCAAGATGGATACTGTTCCCTGTCTGCCACCTGAGAATGTCAGGATGGCCAGGTAGGATGGTGTGAGGTGTGAGGACACATTCGGTACATGTCCAAGCCTGATTCACATGTAAGGTCTTCTGACAGGAATTGTAATTGTCGGTGTGGCCAAGTTTCCCCTGAGACAGCCTCGAAGGGCAGGTCTTGGCGACCATGTCCTCCTCTCTCCCTCTCTGTCTCAGGCCCCAGCCTCCTCTTCATCACATATGCAGAAGCCATAGCCAACATGCCGGCATCCACGTTCTTTGCCATCATCTTCTTCCTGATGTTAATCACACTGGGCTTGGACAGCACGGTAAGTGACCGCGGAGGGAAATCTGGCTCTGGGAAGGAAGGAGAGAGGGGCGAGGAGGAGGAAAGCACCCATTCCCTCCCATCCTGGCCTCCCCGGGCGGGCGGTGTTGGCTGCTTCCTCCTGGACTCCCTCAGCCCCTGTTCACTTGGGCACTTACTGCCCTCTAGGTCATAATGGATAATGAGGGCAAAGTGTCCGGCACAGGCCGTGCAGCACACGTGAACTGTTATTATTGTGCAATGTCCCTTGACCAGATTGGCAGCACCTAAAGGCCAGGAAGAGGTCACTCTTGTGTCTCAGTGCCCTGCTGCCCAGCATTCATCTTATTAATGTGGAATGAGTCTCACTTTTGAGCTGGCATTTCTGGTGCAACCAAAGTCTCCCCAAGAGACCTCACGTAAAGTCCTGGGTGGAAGTGTATAGCTCAAGTGATAGAGTGCATGCTTAACATGCATGAGGTCCTGGGTTCAATCCCCAGTACCTCCTCTAAAAAGAAAGAAAGAAAGAAAGAAAAGAGAAAAAGAAGAAAGAAAGAGAGAAAGAGAGAAAGAGAGAAAGAGAGAAAGAGAGAAAGAGAGAAAGAGAGAAAGAAAGAGAGAAAGAAAGAGAGAAAGAAAAGAGAAAAAGAAGAAAGAAACCTAATTACCTATCCCCTACCAAAATAAAAAAAAGTACTGACCATGTGCTATACTTCCTTCGATGTCCTGAGCAATGGGTTCTAAATGACAGTGTGAAACAGAGAAATATATTTCCAGTGAGGGCTAGTGAGTAGGGGGAACTGGTCCCAATCAGCTTGACCGATCACTTGGCAATCTTAGCCCCTCCCTTCTTTTCAGTGTCCTAGAAGGTAACAGGTTTGCCCCAGAGTCTCCACAGTGACCATTTGTGTGCCCCTCTCAGTTTGCAGGCTTGGAGGGAGTGATCACGGCCGTGCTGGATGAGTTTCCACAACTGTGGTCCAAGCGCCGGGAGTGGTTTGTGCTTGGCGTGGTCATTACCTGCTTCTTTGGATCCCTGATCACCCTGACTTTTGTGAGTACCATGACCCTCAGCTTTGAGTCAGCCTTCCCTAGGGCAGCAGAATGCTTCAAGAACCTGTTCCTTTCCATCTCACGTGGTGCCCTGGCTTTGGGGCAAAAGGGAGAGAAGTGGTCACTACTGTTAATAGTTATCAAGGAGAAGAAAAGTTGTTTCTGGTGGCATCTGTCTGTAGAATCTCTGCATGTATCTGGGGGCTCTCAGCATTTTACAGCAAATCCAACTAAATTTCAGGCTTTGCAGAATATCTGGAGAAAAACTAAGATTTGCTTTTTCAGTCTATTTCCAATCCTTAGGGCTGCTTTCTTGGGAACATTGCCCTGATGCCCCGATGTGCAGAACAGCTGGAGGCTGACAGCTCATGTTTGTAATACCACTTTGTCTCCTCCAGAGAATTTGCCGTGGTGAAGGAGTCAGACCCTCTAGACCCTCTCCAGTGATTTTTTTTTGGGGAGGTGGGGAGGCAGGTAGCTGAGGCAAATATTGTAAATCAGGCATCAGATACTATGCTTTGGCATCCTAGGCTTGTGTCCTTTTGACTCAAGGCGGATTTTGTAGATAAACATTTTCACGCCGTGACTGCCATGGCCCTAGAGGCTCTGTGGCATGATGGGGCCCTGAGCAGGGCCTGAGGGGTGTGTGAGTCAGGACAGAGGCAAGACCATGACCACTGAGCCCAGATTCAGTCTTTAGGGAGCAGGAATCTCCAGGGTAGAGTAAACAGTGAGTGTTCATTAAATTGAAGAAAGTTGAAAATAGAGACAGAGGCGCTTTTGAGTTTGTCTCTTAGAGTTTAGGGGGGAGAGGAAACAAGAAGAGAGTGACCCGTAGGGTGGGAGGAGGTGTCTGATGGGATGAAATCTTGTCCACCCTGCCAAGGCCAGTCCAAGAAGCAGGCTCTGGGATACTTACATTGGGTCCAAGGTGGGAATTTTCCAGAATTATTCTAAGAAGCTTCTTTTTGCCCCTGTTCAAAAGAGGAGGTGGTGCCTCAGTGGGCCCTTAACCAGGTTGGTGGTCTTGTTTCCAGGGAGGGGCCTATGTGGTGAAGCTGCTGGAGGAGTTTGCCACGGGACCCGCAGTGCTCACCGTTGCCCTGATAGAAGCAGTTGCTGTGTATTGGTTCTACGGTAAGATGTTTCCTTCCACCAGCCAGCATCCTTTCTACACCAGCCCATGTAGCCACCAGAATACAGAAGGGCTGATTTCATCAGAGAAAGGCAGGCCAGTGTACAAGACGTCACCTCCTACACGCTTTCTTCAGAAAAAATTCATCATTTCTTCCACACTGGGCAAGACTGCAGGCACTCCTGGGAGGACGTTTTTCCCGTTTGTGTTTAAATGTTTACCCAGTGGAGACAGGCTGAAGTGGTTCCATACAGCTCATCCACAGTGGTTGCTGAAGATCCTGACTGGCTCTAAGAACTGGACAGACAACAAAGAACTAGTGTACGGTGAATGCATCTGCAGGATGTACAGTATTCTGCTGTTACACAGAGTGGCCCCCAGTCTCAATTTCACAAGTGCGTTCTCCCTCCAGAGCCCCAAGACAGAGTTGGGGAGTTTGTCTTCTAGGAAAGAGGCAAGAATGTTCCTGTTCGCATTCCCTGCCTTGGTATTGGTAAAAACTCCAATTCACCCCCTCTGATCGTGGGATGGGATCCGATAAGGGTGATACCACCAGAAGTGCAGAGAGGGAGCTGACATGGGCCCATGGGCAGGGATGCCAAGAACCCCTGGGCGAGGATGAGGAGGGTGTGGACAGTGAAATGGAGGAAACCAGGTTCAGAGGTGCCTCTTCATCTTTAAGATCAAGAAGTGATTATTTTATTCTGAAAATGTATTTTCCTAGCTTCTATGATAGTAGAACAGCTTTGGCCTGTGTGTCATTACACATAATATGAAGAAGGGGAGCCCCACATTTTGAGTTGCCTGTGAGCCCAGTTTTGTTTTTTTTTTTTTTTTTGGAAAGAAGTCCTCCCACCTCCTCCGCACTTCAGAGGACAAAGATCAAAGTGTGTGATGCCACAGACCTGCCCAAGGTATTGCTGGGCATTTTCAGGGAAGCAACCACAGAGCACCCTTCCTTCCCCTTCTCATTGTCTCCCCAGTCAGAGTCCATGCCAGTTACCCCGTGTAGTAGAACCTTGATCTTGATCTGACATATGAATAAGCAATATTGTGTTTAAAATTTTCTCTTTTACGTTTCCAGTATGTGATCAGTCAGTCTCTGGTCAAGTGGGTTCACTGTTTCTAGACAAAAGGCAACTTCCTTTTTTCTACAGCAACAGTAAAATCATATCTATGCCAACATCATAGAACAGCAGTGTGGGCACCAAGAGGGAGCTTTAGGTCCTTCCCCAAATGTCCACCCATCCTCCCATTCAGTGCAGGAAAAGCTTTGCTTGCTGTCACACGCAGCTTTGTGGCAAGTTCCCCCATCCCACTTTCAGACCAGATTGGTGCCCCTGATCGGCCCCTCCTGTGGAGAAATCCTAGAGCTGCTACTCTCTCTGAGCATCAAGGGATAGCATGGCAATCTGTTTCCTCTCTCAGTCAATCAGTCTCGCTCTCTTTCGGGTGATTTTAGGCATCACTCAGTTCTGCAGTGATGTGAAGGAAATGCTCGGCTTCAGCCCCGGATGGTTTTGGAGGATCTGCTGGGTAGCTGTCAGCCCTCTGTTTCTCCTGGTGAGTTGTCATTTCCCTTCTCCTTCTGGCCCTGGGGAAAGATTCACTCTGAAACACTTATTTAAAAAAAAAAGTTTTCATGAAGTGTAACATATATACAGAAAAGTGTACAAATCGTTAAGTATACTTCATAATGAAATTCTATAAATTGAGCATGCTTTTGTAGCCAAAACCAGACTGAGAAACAAAAGCATGACCAGCACTTCAGAAGCCCCTCTTGTGTCCCCTCCCAGTCACTGTGCCCCCCACAGCTAACCACTCTTCTGGCTTCTAACACCACCCAGTGGTCTGGGCTTCAGTGACATTATTATTTCATCACTCCCCTGCTCCTTGATGATGATAAATAACATTCACTGGTCATTAAGTGCCAGGCCAGACTTTATGCTAAACTTACTCCCATTTCTTTTTTTTTTTTTATTAAATTTACAATGCTGTGTCAATTTCTGGTGTACAGCATCATGTTTCAGTCAGATATACACGTACATATATTCCTTTTCATATTCTTTTCCATTATAGGTTACTGCAAGATATTGAATATAGTTCCCCATCCATTGCTCTTTTAACTCTCACAACAATTCTATGAAGTAGAGTTCTAGTTCCCCGTTTCACATTTGAGGAAATTGAGGCTTAGGGTCCAAGGTCACAAGACAAGTGAGAACTGTTCAAGGTCGGGAAAGGACTTACTGTGCTGCCCATGAAGGACCTGACAGGAGTCCTAGTAATTTTGTATTCATCTTCGTAAAGACACCCCCCATCAGGGTTCTCAAGCATAGACGTGGAGCCAAATGTAGAATGCATTCATTGGCAAATGAATGAGAAAGTTCAGCTTCAGGGGTTGCCCGTTTGCCAAGACGTGTTCCATGTTGACTCCATCCTTGCTGCACGTGCCCCACTTTTGCTTTCCTCCTGGTCTCTGTCTGAAGCAGGTGTTTGCCCAAAGATGGATAAGTGCCCTTCTAGCATCCCAAGTGCACTCTGAGGTACCCTGGGTCAAAGGGGCTCCGTGCACATCAGCAGGATTATTCTGTTCTGTCATTTACCTGTAACTTGATTTGGGTGGGTGGGTGGGGTTGCTTTTTCATCCTTAGAGCCAGAGACTTCCTTCAGTCCCGCTTCAGCTTACTAGGTTGTCTGGGCTGTCCGTTTCTTCCTAGGACGTGCATGCAGCTGCGCCTTCCCCCTCTTTCCGAATAGCCCATTTTGTATTCTGTTTTGACTTTCTCGGGGCAGCCCTTTATTTTTTTGTGCTTGCTGTACCCCCACATCTCAGTGTCAACCTGTAATACAGACAACGTGAGCATTCTTGCCTCTGTAATGCTGCGCGTGTCTCTCTGTACCCCAGAATCCCTCCTTGACTTCCATGCCCCTGGGCCCCCCCAGAAGTTTCCCAAACCAAAGCCAACCTTCGCCCCAAGCAGCAGATATTCTCAGGGCCTAGGGGCGCCAGTGCATGCTTTGGGCCCCAGTGTTCCTCTAGATCTTGGCCTGGTAGTTCCTTATTAACTTGTCAGCTCACTGTTGCTTTTTTAGGTAAATTAAAACCATAATGTATTTTTAAATCCAGAAACTTTAGTTGTTTTCAATGAGAGAGTTCGTCTGGACCACTAGTCTGCTATTACTAGAAGCAGAAGTCTTGACATAAATGGGTTATTAATTTCTATTATTACCAGTGCTTCTGGATAATCTACTTAAATCCTTTCATTTGTTTTTCAAAGGAAAGAGAGACATTGGATTAGTTCCCTAAGGGAAGAAGCTGTGTTTGTTTACTTTTGTATTCCTTACCCAGTGAATCAATGCTGTTCAGGGCTAAGACTCAGAAAAGGCAAGTGAGACCCTCACCATGGGTGTAAAATTTCAGGGGGTGCCAAAAAAACTCAATAGTCAATATAAATACCATTTTAACCCAACATTTTAAAATAAAAATTAATGCAAAATATTCCTGATGAACAAAAAATATCAACATTTTAAACACAGGATCTGACTGTATACTCACATGTCTCGCTCACTTACCTTACCCCAGTCTGGCCCTGTCAGAGCTTATCTTTTTAAAGTATTGTACTAAAATATTATTTGACTTCTGACATTTTGGTGCCTCTTAAATGTTGCACCCAAGGTGAGTGCCTTGCATGCCTTACCCTAGTTCTGGGCCCAGGCTTTTAATATTTTCATTTCTGTGAATCTCTGGTTGTCTGGCAAACTGGGTGAATGCTTGGTGTATAGTGCATGAGTTTCTGTAACAAGCAAAACCCAGGTACAGATCGGGGTTCAGGCATATTATAATTTCCTGTGATGTTCACTATAATCACTTCCTCTAAACAGGCAAATGTTCCCGGGCCCAATTAATAGGAGGCAAATCTGTCTTCCATTTCTGGATTACTTAACAGAACACTTGTTCTGGACTTTCTAAGGCTGCTTTAGGTAAACAATGAGTAGCTTACTAAAAATATCCTTTTTCATTAAAGCCAAATTACAAAAAAAGAGAATATTGTCTATGAGCAAGAAGAGTCAAGGATGTGCGAGTGGGTGTCTGGAGCGATACTTGGTGGCCACAATGAGAGCTTCAGGCCTCCTTGAACTGTGTTGGGTTTCACACACTTGACATCAAGATGAGACAAGTTACAGCAGGGATGGCTCCTAATCAGACCCCACCGAATCACCTTCCTTTTACCTGGTTCTGGGGCTGAGGAGAGTCTGTACGGAGCAAGGTTTATGACTGACTGAACTCCTGTTTTGAAAGGTTCCTCCTGGACTTAGGATAACACTGTTCAGAAGATGGATGTGTGTTTAACAGTTTCCCATTTTATTACCTGAAGACAAAGAAAAAAAAAGATATAAATAGATGTTTAACCACACAACTAATTTACATTACTGTCTTCTTTATGACTATGAAATAATGAAATAAAATTAAATCAAGAGCAATAACGATTTCATCACAGCGGTTACTAGGCAAAACCCGATATTTACACTCTCTCTGGAAACCAAAGTGAAGTAAGAAGACTCATAAACTGGGTGTTGGGAGCACACCGTGGAATTTTTCTTGGTCAAAATCTTCACTGAATTTTCTAGTAAAAAGTATATTAAGATGCTTTTTCCTTCTATTATTCCTTTCATTATGAGGGTCTGTGGCAGGCAGTCATTCATTTTTGAGATGCCCTGTGGCAGAGCCAGCCTTCTTGAAATCACAGGCGAAGATGCTTAATGCAAGGAAAGGGGAGAGAAGGAACATGCATCCAGGAGCCTGGGTCCTCTCCAGGTCTTGAGAACCTTATCTCTCCTGGACCTGGGTGCCTTCAACTGGCCAAAAACTATCACAGCAGAGAAACAGAGGAGGAAATGAAAACAAAGCAGAGAAAAATATGAAGCCCTGGGACTGGCAGGGGCCGTGGAGAGGTCACCCAGTTTATTCCTTCACTGTCTGACACGTTGGGGCCTGAATCACTCCTGATGGCTCCAGTCTCTTTCTCTTTTTCTTCTCTTGAAGTGGGTGCTGTAACTCCCCTCAGTAACATTCTGAGGCCTTGGCATCCCCACTGCAGGGGCTGAGGAGGAAAACCGAGATAAGCCCCTAGCTCTTTTTTTTTTCTTAACATTATTTATTGATTTATAGTCATTTTACAATGTGTCAAATTCCAGTGTAGAGCACAATTTTTCAGTTATACGTGAACATATATATATTCATTGTCACATTTTTTTTCTCTGTGAGCTACCATAAAGCTCCTAGCTCTTTAATTGCTGCAGTTGAAGCACAGAAATTAGTGAATTCTCTGTGTCAGAGTTCAATCTAGGAATAAATGACATTTGGGCAATTTCCTAAAAGTATCTTAGCTTTAGCCTTCAGTGTTCATGGTATCAGGACTGTCTCTATCCACGTGAGTATCATTAAGACTTTTTAATGTTTCTTGAAATTTCTGTTTTAGTTCATCATTTGCAGTTTTTTGCTGAGCCCACCACAGCTACGACTTTTCCAATATAACTATCCTCAATGGAGTATCATCCTGGGTTACTGCATAGGAACCTCATCTTTCATCTGTATCCCTACATACATAACTTACCGGCTGATCATTACCCCAGGGACACTTAAGGAGGTATGTGCTAGTTTGTGAGTGTGTGTTCAGGTTGGTAATTGTTTTGGGAGAAAAGGGTACTCTTTTTATGCTCTATTCAAAGGAGATAAGTCCATCCCAAGAGTTTACCGGGAGGCTCTAAACCTTATATATTTATATACCTACACCATCGATGCCTCTGTCATCTTAAGGCATCTTCCATAAGCCTTAAGTACAAAGCCAAAAGAGCGAGCTGGCCATTTGGGGGCTTGCCATTTGGGTGCATCACAGCAGACAGCTTGGGGTGTGTACAGCATTTTAAACTTATCAGATGACTACTTTATCTCCTGCTTGCCATGGGGCATGGACATCAGATCAGTAGTGTCTGGAACAATAACACAAATTTGATTTAAGTGGATTTAAATTAAATCGACTTGATTTAAGTGGAGATATGGTGGGAAATGCCCATGTTATTTTTCTAATAGCAGCATGACAAAGGTTATTTTGAAAATCATCACTAAATAAGGATGTTGTCGGAGTGGGTGTAGCTCAGTGGCAGAGCACGCTTAGCATGCACAAGGCTCTGGGTTCAACTCCCAGCACCTCCATATTTGATGACAGGAAAGAAAAAAGAAAAAGGATGTTGCAACAGTATCATAGTATTAGCTCAAGTCATTGGAGTGAAAAATGTTGCCATTATAGTAAGATTCATTTCAGTAAATGAACACTGTGCTATAAAAATTTCAATAACAGAACCTTATAATTTGTATAAGATTGTATATATTTTAAAGCATCTTCATGTAGATTATCTTATTTTGTTATCAAAGTACTTTGTGAGGTAGATGGGCAGTTATCATTAGCAGACAAAGATACTGAGTCTGGGAATAATCCTGTTCACAATTTCCTTATTTCAATGACTTGTCCAGGGACACACAGTACAGGGAAGCTCAGAATCCAGGTCTCCTGGTTTTTGGTCCAATGCTTTTTTGCTTATAGGTGCAGCTTCTCTTTTGTGCCCTCAGGATATTAATAGTTTACTAATGTAAAAATTGGCGCTAGAGGTTAGGGAGAGATGAGTTGCTGGTTTTCATTCTGTGGTGCCAGAGTTGGTGTTCAGGCTACCAGGATGCCCAGGTATAATGTTATATACCTCATGTTACCAGAATTGAAAATGTTTGGGTTGTTGTTTGGTTGTGTTTCTTGCCAGAGCAAGAAAGTTACTGTGGCAGGTTGCCGTGAAAAAGTGGCCACTGATAAGTCTGTGGGTGGCTGCTTTTTAGAAGACAAGCTCAAAGGTGAAGAGTGGTATCTGGGGAAAGCTCAAAGGCACTGTGCCCTGTAAAGACCTGAGAGGTGGGCTAGTCCGTGGGCTCTTAGAAGCAAAACTTGAGCATGAAACCATTATATTTATCTTCCTAAAACATTCACAAGAAACATGAAGCAAGAGAATAAGAGGCAGTTAAACATCATCTCTTTTCTGAGAACTGAGATTACTTCCTTTTCCAAGCAAAAAAAAAAAAAAAAACCCAAAAAACAAAAAAAACAAAAAACTGAATTCTAGGTGAACAGAACTCTGCAAGGAGTTAGTAATTTCCTGTATCTGAAACAGTCATCACAACCTCATTCTTCCCAAAAGGCCTTGGATTCTGATTTTGCCTGAAATATACACTCAGACCAGAGTCACTGAATTTGCTCCTTCATGTTGTCCTTTATGGCAGTTGTGATGGTCCACTGGCCCAGTTGACTCAAACCTAGAGGCCAAGGTCAAGGATGAGAACTCCTTAGGTTAGTAATAGTCAGAATTCTTTGGTCACAGACTGTACCTCAAATCCTGGTCATCTGTCTTGCGAATTTCCCCTGTTGGCCATAAGGAAATAGCACCCAAAGATGTATAACTAACAGAGCTCAGATCCATAAGTAGCAGAGAGAAGGCTGACTGCAGGGCCATCTTCGCCATAGGCCACCAGATGGGAAACAGTGGGTTACTGGGAAGCATCATGATACCGCCAGTCAAAGGGGACTGGGAGGGAAAAGACCTAGTCAGCTATAGCCAGTGACTTACCTTCTCTGGGCCTTCGTTTCCTCATCTTTAAGATGTGCTCATTGAATTGGATTAACATTTCCAAAGTGTGTTGGAAGGAGCAGTGTATCAGTAGGTGTTACTGCTGAGGGAAAAGTTTATATGAGCAAACAATTTTGGAGACCGCTGGATTAAGGCAAGTTAAGTCTCTTTACTATGGGGACTTCTCAAAAGTCTTAACATGCCTACATGCATGCTTAATAATCTGAGAGGGATAAAAGCATGCTGTTTTTTGTGAAGCACCCCAAGGGACTAGAGCTTTCTGTGAATACTAGACTTGATGGTCTGCAACATTCTATCAATGAGGGAGGGAGACCTCATATGGAATTTTGGTGTGGCTGAGGAAGGCGGAGCCAGAATCCACCACTCACTCTGCTCCCTCCTCTGTCCAGAGAAAAGGATGCCATGCCCTTTGCCCTTTGCAAGGCCATCAAAGGCATGTGATAGGCCGGTGGAGATTCTACTGAAGGCCCATTATTTTCTCCCACTAGTGTTGTAATGACGTTCTTAATTAGTCCACAGATGCTTATCTAGTTTCTGAATATGCCATTTTTATCCATATTTGAGAACAAATAAATTGGGGATTCCTTTCTTAAGGAAAGCCAATAAGACTATTCCAATTTACTATTAAATGCTATTAAAATGCTACTTAAACGTTAATACTAATGTTCACATTTTTTTCAGTGCTATTAAATTACAAGACTATTTACAACATCATATTTTTTTTCCCTAACAGCGTATTATTAAGGGTATCACGCCAGAAACACCTACAGAAATTCCCTGTGGAGACATCCGCTTGAATGCTGTGTAAAATGTCTCTGAGAGGAAAATGGCTTCCCAACAACCTCTTCTTTCAGTTCTGACAAGTCACACCTCGCCTGCACCCTCTAAGTGAATGAGTCTCCGCCTAAGCCTGCCGATGGAAGGGCCTTCTTCATAGAGAGACAGCCCCAAAAGACTATGGTGCCCAGACTCTCATGGCCTCCAGCCACTTCCTTCTGTGAAATCTCCTGGACGTGTTACCACATCAGACTCTGTGACACAGCTGAAGTGGCTGTTCTGGATGTGTGAGGGTGTGGATGGAGATGATGAAAATCACCGTATCATCAGTTAGGATTAGGTTTAAGATCAAGTCTATGAAAGTCTCCTGTATCATTTCTTGTTATAGTCATCGGTATCTGATGACATGTGTTTGCTTCAGAAGGTTTCACTGTTCATGAATGCGTAAACCATACAGGAGAAAACAGGGATGCCATCTTGCTAGCTATATATTTTCTGAGTAGCGTAGAATTCTATAGCTGGAATCTGCTAGAATCCTGTAACCCATGTGCTGCTGTGGAGTCAGGAGAAGACTATGTACGAAGCTAAGCTCAAAAATAACATGTACGTGTGAGCATGTGTGTCTGTGTATACTGTTGTTCTAGTGTATCTTTATTCTAATACGTTGGGCCCATTACAAACTATATGAATTTCCTCTAGTTTTTCTTACATTAACAAATTCTACCTACCGAAGTTTGTAAGTATGTTATTATTTGAAGGGTATTATTACCACAACGTGCTCTGCCACACACTCCTTTTCCAGTGACACTGCTAAGCCCACACACCTGCCTTCATGGGCCGGCCATTAGTATTTGCTGCACTTCCCTGCCATCTTCCTGTCTCTCTCTGCTAAACATCCAGGATAATGTTCTGCAGGCAAATCTGGCTTATTTCATTAGTCACTGAGGCTTGGCTGTGAACTACTTTGAAGATGAATATTGGCAAATGCAGCTTCAGTGTTCAGTTGGCTGTCTGGTTTAAGCTCTGTAGACTTCAAATGACTGCGTTTGACCATTAAAGTTACTTTGCTTTGTGAAGAGAGGATAAATCCAAGTCTCTCTTATAGGGTATATAGATCTGATACCCTGACCAAGGTCATCCTCAATCCAGAAGTAATTAGAGAGTCTGGATTAGCCTTAAATGGACCTCCCACAACCCCTTGACTCTTCCTGGTTGGCTACTGGGATTTTGAGCCCTCCAGATAATTTTAAAGATTGAGTCTAAGTAAGGCTGATTGGAAAAGGGTCAGTTAAATGAACAACCTTTCATGCCACATAAAACGTTTAATACAGATCAAGTAAATTTGACCTTCAGTGGCTTGGGACTCTCAGACACATAGGCAGAGAAGCAAATTGTACCTTGCTGTGTGAGATTTCCTTAGCACAATCTTAAAGGTTATAAAGCCTAGTCAATGATAAAAGGACTCAATTTTCTGGCCCCATAACACTTTATTCCTCTATGTAAATCAAATTTAATCCTAACAGCCTTACAGAAGATCCATATAGCAGAGGCTTAGTTTTATCCAATGTAGATCTTCCTCCCTTGGCTTCCTTTCCCCAACAATGCTCCCCGGCCATCTTCTTGTATTCTCCCTACATCCTTCTATGTCTGATTCTTTGCCTTTCCTGGTGGGATATTTTCCTCATAGATGTTAGCTGCTGAGAAATTTCCCAAAATATTAGAGGAAAAGAGGACGGGAATTCAAATATGTCTCTTACTGACCTACCTTCATTATCTTCGTGCTTTCTTTCCTTCTGGCTACCTGATTTCCATTCTCTTTGCTTTCTAGCATGCTGAAAGGAGAGAGGTTATATAAATGGCAGCATATTCAGTGGTAAATAGCTTTGCAAATTTTAAGAATTCACTTTATAAAGATATTCAGATATAGATTATCCCCATCCCCCACACACTTGTGCATTCTCCAAAGATACCGTTTTTAAAAAACACTTTTCCAGAGTTTTGCCACATCAGGTGTTATATAGGTGTTTTGAAAAGTTTTCAAATGTCACTTGACTTAAAAAAAAAAAAAACCCAAAATCTCTGTCCTGCATCATTTACATTTACTTGACCCCTATTTATCAATACTACTATGGATTTTTTTAAAGGAATACTTAAGAGTTGGTAGACTAACTTTAAAATAATCTTTTAATGACCTTTTTACATCTAATGTAGCATTTACAGAAAAGTGAAAAATAAAAATAGAATGAATGGTTCAGTTATTTAAGTGCTGAAGTTATTTTTTTTCCCCATAGGTAAGGCACAAGACAAAGGCATGGAAGCAATTCCATTGATGGAGCTTGTTCCTAATTTGATATGCAGTGGTGTCCAAAGAATTCATCTCCCCTCCAAAAAACTTACAACCTGTTTAAAACTTATTCCATTTGTTGTGTGGAATGCAGATGACTTATAACCTAAATTCACTGCCCTGGCTGCCCCACCTGGAGATGTATGCAAAAACCTTAACAAACCCAGAGTGAGAGTATTAGCTCCAAAATCAAATAATGACAATTAAATCAAATAATGAATCTTAAATAAGGAAAAAAATTATTCTGTGAGATGAGCCACTCTCTCACTATCTTATTTTAATGAAGCTTGTTAATTTGGTGACACCAACCTCAAAATTTAAGTGTAAATATGAATTTCCATTTAACTCACCGACCCTACTTGAGCCCTTAAAAGAGAGATTGTTCTCCTGGAATTAGAACCATATTCTTTCTGACAAGTAGGAAAGACTGACCTGATATGTTCTATCTGTTGCATAATTGATTGGAGGTCAAAGCTTAAAACTATGGAATGCAATGGCTTAACTGTGCTGTTCTTACACACATCTTAGACGATGCTTAGCTACCCAATGGTACACTCCAAGCCTGGTTCCTTTCGTAGCCTGTCTCTTTACTCATAAATCAACACCTGGTGCTTAAGATATCATTAAACAAGGCAGTATTCTGAAGGCATTTTCTACTCTCCCCTCCCCCACCTTTTGTGTCAGAGAGGGGTGGGGAAGAGAGGCAGTAGGTTCCTCAGAGGGACTCTACAACAACCAGTCATCTCCATAAATAATGTGATAAAAGCAAATAGTCCTATGCTAAGTGGGAAGTATATTTTAAAGTCACCATGGAGCTTACATTACACATTATTTAAAAACACAAGGAGAGTTACACAAGAGACTCTACCGTAGGAAGATGAGCTTAGAAAATGCTTGTTTGAGAAGCATGTTAGAGACCAAATTTATAAATCCAAACACGGAGAAAGAAACATTAAGATGTAATATCCCTATACTGTAGCAAGCTTTTGGTCCACTTGAAGTGTTCTGAATTTTTTCTTCAGTATCAGAGATAAGTCAATGACGTTTATTAAAATTTTAGTTCATGTTTAGTTCATGGAAGGACGATCTCAAAAGCTCCAAAAATTTTTTCTTACTTTTTCTAATATCACTTCTCCCCCTCATTGCTTAACTGTCTCTAAATTTCAATGACAGAACAATATTTTAAAGTTCAGATAACAACATTAGAAGCAGAAACAAACCTAGCTAATTTCTCTGCTTTTCTTGGGATTTGGAAATTTCTAAAGGAAGGTGAGCTTAAGTTTTACTTCCACTGCTAGAGTGAAATAATACTCCTCTTAATTGGTTTAGTAGGCATTTACCACAATGGAAAGGATAAATATTTTAGGATGGAATCTTAAGTATGTCTGTCCTTTTGTTTCATATAGTTGCAATCTATTCAGTACTGTTTCTACATTAGGTGTTTCAAAACAACTCATCTTTTCAAGAGAAGTCTTTTTTTGGAAATGATTCACAATATATTTCTATGGAATTTCAAGTGATATTTCTCTTACCAACACATCATAAAATCCATGCTAATTGCTCTACCACCAATGCAAGTTTTTTTTTAAGCTATCAGAATAGATAATCTTCACTGGCCAACTCTAATTTGGAAACAGTGTGCATTAGTGGAGCACCTCATCAGAAAAAAGTTTTAATGTCTACTGAACTAAGAAGAACCTTACCATTCAGAGGAGAGAATAGATGATATCAGTCCTTCAACTCTATAACTGGAGACTCCAATTATAGTAGGTAATTTATTTCTAACAATCTGTAAACACTGCCAGCCCAAACAACAAATATTTAGGGAGAAGGAGTTATCCTTCTATGCTAAAATACATACATTTCCATAAACAAATAACATTTACTAATTAAAAAAAGGTATTTGAAAGATTCTTATTCAAACTCTATTAGAAGTGTACATTAACTTAAGAAAACTTGATAAATGAAAAATTGATAGTTAAAACGTAAAATTAGGGACTTCACATAAGAATTTGCAGTTATTTCTCCAATGGCATTTAAAATATGACAATTTTTTTCAGGATACTCTGTGTGTTGAACAATGAGGTGCTTCAAATTCTGGATTACACATAGTTAACTGAATTATATAAATATATAATTATACAAATACTATTTTTTTCCCTCATCTTTACTTTCTTCTTCCACATTATTTATAGCTAATAATAAGTAAATTTCTTTCACTATTCACCTCTGTCAACAATGGTAATATGAAAATTTCCAATGTTATTTTTTACATGAAATATGTTTATTTTTAAACTTTAGTGACAGAATTAAACCTAAGTTTTATTTATGCAAAATAAAGAGTCCCCTCTTTAAGATGCATAAACTGCCCCTGTATTCATTTATGCAGCAGATCAGTCATAAATGTTCCAAGTTATATTGTAAGATACCAGTAAATGCCTTTTGTTGTGAACTATTATTGTAATAACCCTTAACAACCATGATGAATATATTATCTCATTAAAAAAATACCTTCCAAACTCTTTAAGTTTAAAATAAAAATCTTAATCTTAACTGCATATTGTCAAATCACATACACATCTTTCAAAACATTACTGCATGTGATTTACAAATATTTAGCACTAAAATTAGCTAAAATTAGAAATTTCAGTAAAGCTGAATAAATTATTTTAATTCTTTGCATTTATACAGAGCCTTAGTTTAAAATCTACTTTCACATATATCATCTCACTTGATTACCAGAACTCTGGGTAACAGATGTTATTTCCCCAGTTTTGAGATTAAGGAGCCAGAGGCTGAGAGAGGTTAATTGATATGCCCAGGTTAACACAGTTGGAAAGTTCCAGAACAAGCCTTATGCCCAGGTTTTCTGATTACAGGCCAGAGATTATTTGCATGTCTGTCTTTAAAACCATCATCCACAGAAGCTTAAATACACAGATCCTAAATTCAAAAATGAAAATGATGAAGGATGTGTTTCCAACAAACAAGGACTTTCTCCTACATAACCACAGCACAACCATCAAATTCAGGAAAGTAATGTTGATATATTACTGCTATATAATCTCATTTGACCCCACTCAGTGACGTCTTTTTACCAAAAGGATCCAGTCTAGAATCACACTTTTCCGTTAGTTTTGCGTCTCTCATCTCCTTTAGTTTAAAACAGCTTTCCAGACTTACCTTGAGTTTCATGAACTTGACACTTGAAGATTATAGGCCAATTATTTTGTAGAATGTCCCTCAATTTAATTTGATGATTGTTTCCTCATGATTAGACTCAGGGTGCATATTTTTGGCAGAAATATCACGGGAATGATGCTGAGTTGTTCTTACCGCATCCCTATCAGGTGGAGCATAATTTGATTTGTCCCCATACTGGTGATGTTAACTTCAATCACTTGGTTAAGATGGTATCTGCCAGGCTTTCCACTATAAACTTTCTTTTCTTTTTTTGTAATTAATTAGTATTTTGTTAAGGAGTTTATTCTGAAACTGTGCAAACATCCTGTTCCTCATTTAACTTTCAATTCATACATTTTTATGGATTCTTATTTTATTCAACGGATTATAATCCATTATTATTCATTTTGATGTGCAAATGGTCCCATATTTAGCCAATGAGAATCCTTTCAAGCTGGCTTCTGTGTTTTTTGACACGTCACCATTGTTCTTGAAACACCTACCGTCTAGAGTAAGATGTTACAGTATCATCTTGTACTTTCTCTGCTACAGCCAGTTCTCCAAGAAGTCCTGATTCCTTTTAGTGGAGAAAGTACTTAGAAACCAGGATCTAGGTGCCAGGTATGCTCATTACTATTGAGTGTCACTGATTCCAAGTCTTCTCACTAGACAGAACTAAATATCTGTGTACAGAAACATACACATTTTCATCTATGATTATCTCCCTATCTTGAAAACTATTAGTTCACATCAGTAACTCCAGTTCCAACACCACTCAAATTCATTCTAGTTTTCTCTCTTTGTGTTTATAACCCGTTCTAGGTCAATGAGAAACCTGGCTCCCATTATCCCAAATATATTGACTTTTTGATCAATATCTCTGAATGTAAGCAACATTCCATTGCTGCTGCCACCACCCTCAACACAGAAGCCCTCTTCACCCCATTCAGGTTCTGACACCTCATGCTGGGACTGTCCCTCATCCCCGCCCTTCTCAGTCTGCTCAGGATATGCCTTATTGGGCAGTCACCACTGCCACCCACTGACAGATGCCTTCCTTCCACTACTTGGGCTCAGATATCCTGTAGGGACCTCTTCTCTGCATGGATACCCCTTGCACCCATTTGGACTGACACAAAGTGTAGGCTGCTCCTACACAATGCTCTTCTTCACCATGTTTTAGTGACACTCAGCTCTGGGCTGTGATAGCTTGACCTTGCTCAGCCCCACTTAATGGCTTTTGGACTGAATTAGGGAAGGGATGGTAAAAAGGGAAGAGGACCAGTTAACATTCATTGATAGCTACAATTAGAGGCTAAGAAAGGCATCATATTTTCTGAAGGAGCAGAGTGAGGAAGGAAATTAGCAGTATGGTGGGATGGGCAGAGCCTGGTAAAAATTCTTCCAAGATAGAATATACTTCAGTATTAAAGTATATTTCTAAATTCTCCAAAACTCACAACCTTTTCTGCTAACTACTCCTTTGATTCTTAAGGCTTTGTCTTCTTAACACAATTAACAAGAATCTAGCACATCTGGCACCTAACCCCTAATTTGTTGAATGCATGAAAATGCAGCACATTTCATGTCACTTGTCTGGCCTACTTTTCCTCCATCATAAGTATGGCTCATTTTACCAAAAGCAAAAATCTTTTCCTGCACTTGTAGAAAGAGCAACCAGACAGAATTGGGAAGACAAGTGCTCAAGTCTTTTCTCATCCACTACCAAGCTAAGTAATCTTAGATAAGTCACTCAACCTTACTGGCCCCATCCCCTCATGTGTAATGACTATGATGACAAATACTAGTATTTACTGTGTGCTTACTAATGTCAGGCACAGCATTATATGCCTTGTTTCAAGCAATCCTCACATCCATCTCTGAAAGAGACCCTTTTATTAGCCTCATTTTACAAATAAGGGAAAAAAATAATAAAGCTCAGAGAACTTAAATAAGTTGTCCAAGATTATGCAGCAAGTGGTGGGCCCAAGACTTCCAAGTCTTAGCTCTCAAACCTGATGTCATAGTGCCTTAAAAACATTTTAAATCGCAAGGGTTACATGTAAATTGCAGGATTTCTAAGTTCATTCTAGTTTCAAAATTCTAATTTTAAGAAATACTTGAGATAATAAGACAAATGAAATTAAAAGAATGAAGTAAAAACTTTTCTTAACCTTCGCTCATACCAGCATTATAATAGGCACTAGGCATACAAAGTTGAGATCGAATCTTTGCCCTTAAACAACTAAGATACTATCGTTGTACTATAATGCTGTGATAGTATTAAGCATAGAACTTAAAGGAAACATAAAGGTGTGACTGAAACAAAGAAGGGTATTAAAAGAGGCTTTCTGGAGGCAATGACACTTCAGTTTTAAAAATAAGGAGTTAGGCAGAAACATGGCTTTTCCATGCAAAGCAACTAGTGTGTGAGAAGGCACAATTATCATGAAACAGCACTGTGTAGTTGGTATGATTGGACCAAAAGTAAACAAGGGAAGAGAGAAGGAAAATTAAGACACTGAATCAGAGTAACAGCTGTTTACTGATTCATAAAATCTCTTTTAAGCACATTGTTTTAGACCTCATATCATATATTTAAAAGAACACATATCTAGCAACAAATATAGTGAATCCCTTATTTATACCTGTCCAAATAATTCATTACCAAAGAACTGCTGTCCCATGCATAAGCCATTTGACCAATCATCAACATCTACATAGATTCTTCCTGCAGAAATGACTACGATTAACCAGCATGGCCAACAGTTCCTCCATTTGTACATTAAAAATGTTTATTGTGAGATGTATAATGCATATAAATAATACATAAAACATATTTACAATTGAGAGAATAGTGAACAGCCAAGTAGCCGCTACCCAGGTTAAGAAACAATATTGCCAGCCTCTAGAAGCCCTGTATCTCTCCCATATCACAAATGGTATCTTGACTTGTAATAATCATTTCCTTGTTTTTCCTTAGTTTTATCACCTACTCATGTGTTTCTAGGTAGTTTTGCCTTTTTTTTTAATGTAAACTATACGGATTACTTGTTTCTTACACCACTGTGAAATTCATCCCAGCTGTATCTCTGGTATATTCATTTCACTGTATTGTGTGTATACATACATACCAGGTTCATTTACTACTGATGGACATTTGGATTATTTCCAGTTTGGTGAAAACACTATTATGAATATTCCTGGTGCACCTGTGGAAGACAAACATGCAGCATCAATATTTCTAGGTAAAGCCAAACTGTTTTCCAAAAAGGTCGTACCACTTTACCTGACACTAGAAACATACATACATACTTACTCTTGCTTCACATCCTCACCAACACTTGATATTTTCTCAACATTTTTGCCATTCCTAGTGGATGTATAATGGTATTCACTGTGGTATTAGTTTGAACAAATTTTTATTCACTGCCATGTCTACTTGATACTATATGGAAAGAATCTTAATCCTTGTATTACACCACACACAGAAACTCACTCCAGGTGTATGGTAGATCTAGAAGAGTGTTGTCCAGAACTTTCTGCCGTGACAGAAATGTTCTATAAATCTGCATTTTCCATTATGGTAGTCCCTCGCTTCCTGTGGTTATTGAGCACTTCAATTGTGTCTAGTGCAACTGAGGAATTTAAATTTTACTTAACTTTTAAGTTGGACTTCATCAAAATTAAAGATTTCTGTTTGCTAAAAGATACCATTAAGACTGAAAAGGCAAGCCATAGTGGGGAGAAGTTACTTGCAAAGACAAACAACTCCTATCCAGAATATATAAACGACTACAGGTCATGAGAAAAAAGGCAGGTAATCCTACCTCAAAAAATAGGCAAAAGGAAAAGAATTCTTTGAAAAGGAGATATCCAAATGCTAATAAATGATAGCCATCAGGGAACCCCAAAATAAAACCATGAGGTATCATGCCCATCAGAATGGCTAAAAATTAAAAGGCAAACAAAACACAAAACATAAACAACTACAAGTGTAAGCAAGAATGTGAAGCAACTGGAGCCCTCATATATCATCTGATGGAGTTTATTTTGGAACACTGATTGACATTACCTACTAAAGCTGAACATAAGCATACCCTATGGATCAGTGATTCCATTTCTAGGAATTATCCAATCAAAACATATATATGTACATAGAAGCCAAATACAAGAATGTTTCCTGAAGTGTTATTGATAATAACCCCCAAATGGAAACAACTCCATGTTCAACAGTAGAAGGATAAATCTAGAAAACAAGCAAAACTAATCTATGGTGTTAAAAGTCAACGGGAGCAGGCTGGGAAGTGGTTTCAAGGGGAGCTTCTGTGGTACAGCTAATGTTCTCTTTCTGAACTGGATGTATTCACTGTGTAGATCCATTAAACTATATACTCATGATAAGTGCACTTTTCTTTATACATGTTGTAATTTTTAAAAGCTTATTAAGAATGTTCTGGTAAACTTAGATATAGATTTGTCAGAAGTGGAACCTTGTTCTGTCAAATAGGGCTTTTGGGGCTACAGAAATCCAATTCAAACTGGCCCAAGAGAGAAGTATTGGTTTAAATATCTAAAAATATAAATGCTCCACTAGAGCCAGAGGTTCAAAAGCAATCATCAGGTCTTTGTCCTTCTCTCCTCTCATTTCTGCTTTCTTTTGTGTAGGCTTTATTCTGTCAGGCAGTCAGGCACTCATTTCCCTATGCAATTCTGGACTTAATTCATCTTCACAGTCCAGAATGCTAGTGGAAAACGTCTCTTTAAGTTCTGACAAGTCTCAGAACTGGCCTAGCTTGAGTCACGTACCTTTCCTGGAACCTGTTCAGCCCCATTTGAATCACTGGACTAAGTAGTGAAGGGGTACTTTCTTAAGGGAAAATCAAGGCACTGATCCCAGAAAAGGGGAAAAAGAATGCCAAAGAGGCAAAAAAATATCTGGGGAAGGAGTTAGAAGAAACCCTTAATTTGCAGCTTCTCCTTGAGTTCATGTCAAACTTGGTTAATAAAAGTAATGTATAATAGAGTTACCATATGATCCAGCAATCTCATTCCTGGATATGTATCTGGAAAAAACAAGAATTCTAATTCAAAAAGATACATGGACCTCAACGTTCATAGCAACACTATTTATAATAGCCACAACATGGAAACAACCCAACTGTCCATCAACAGACTGGCTTAAGATGTGGTATATATACACAATAGAATATTATAAAAAATTAAACATTGCCATTCACAGCAACATGGATGGACTAAGATTATGCTTACTGAAGTAAGTCAGACGGAGAAAGACAAATAATATATGATATCACTTGTATGTGGAATCTAAAAAATAATACAAATGACTCTATATACAAAACAGAAAGACCCACAGACCTAGGAAACAAGCTTATGGTTACTAAAGGGAAAAAGAGTGGATGGGAGAGACAAATTAGAAGTACAGGATGAACAGATACAAACTACAGTACACAAAATAGATAAGCAACAAGAATTTTCTGTATAGCACAGGGAACTATATTCAGTATACATCTATACAATATACAATATAATCTGAAAAAAAACTGAATCACTATGCTGTACACCTGAAACTAACACAAGATTGTAAATCAATCATACTTAATTTTTTTTTAAAGTTACATATAACTTTCCCTATCTAAACCATCCAAGCTGCTTTTAAGTCTCTGAGCACTGGAAGAGGGAAACCAAGTTTCTTATCAGATCTCTCCAACTCCAGCCTCTCCCTCCTAGACTTTATCTTGCATACTACGGGCAAATTAATCTTCCCAATATATGGCTTTAGTTACGACAACCCTAACAAAGGAATCAAATTCTTTACCTAAGTTGAAGATTTTTAGCCTGTCACTTATGGTCTTCCATGATTTCACCCTAACGTTTTCAGTTACATTATTCTACACCCCTCTGTATATACTAAGTCAGTGCCTTTGAAGTGTTTGTCACTGTCACTGATCTATTTTAAACTATTAGGATGTAACTGATATTTAATGAGTTAGTCAAGAGATATAGGTATTAGCTTTCTTGTTATTTTTCCTTTCTGGTTTTAAGAGTGTAATAAAATGATTTATGAACGCTAAATTTGATCCTTAATATACATATTTTTTCTAAAGGTCAATATTCTTACTAAATTATGTTTATCCTTCTAAAATAAGGCAATGTAGTAACTCTTCATGATAAAGTATGAAAGATATAAACAGCACTTTCTTAATGGGAAGACCTGTTAAAGAACTATTTTTTCCATAGCATTCATCCTTTTCCTATGAATAAATTATTTACAGTATATAATTTCAAATGGTAAGTTTCAAAGAATTGGTACAAAAATTTGTTTTATTTTGATACGTAAATGGAACTGTTAATAAGTTGTACTATGTTTTTTTAGAGTATATTAAACAAGACATCTTCATAAATAGGCCACCTGGATCTTTAGCTAATTTCATTTAGGCTGAGTATCTCCATCTTTTCACCCTTAACTAAAACTGATTTATAACATAACCAACTTATTAACTTGCTGGGGTTTCAGAATTAAAATGATTTTTAACTTAAAAAAAGAGGAATTATGGTATGACATAAGTGACATAACTTTTAAAATAAAATAAAAGCATCAATTAATGTACAAATATATCACTATTTTTATTTTAACTTAAGACAAGTATGCTGTTAGCTAAAAAGTTACTTAGGCAAGATGTGTGATCTGTATTTTACACTTTAATACAAATTTTAGAACACAAAGTATAACAATATTCTCTGTTCAAACCCACATATTTTTATCTGAAACACAATTATTTATAAAACAAATAGCTCCCACAACAAACACGAGGAAAGTTGTTTAAATTATCTTTTAATGGTTGTAGTAGAGCCAATTTTCTTCATTAAGTACCTGTGGGAATTTAGGTTGCTTGAATACAACCAAGAATGTGGTATTGATAAGTAAATATTATATTTCAATTTAGTCAATCAAGATAAAAGGATTGACTTTTGACTTAAACCTAAACCAAAATGAATTTTGAAAATATATTTTAAAATAGCCTCTCACTCAACCACTGTTAACACACCCATGTATGTGTTCACACAGCACGTTCCAGGAGTTATAATTTTCTGCACTTCCATAGGTCTTTCTGCTGGGGCAGTCATCAATCATCTTCTTTCTCAATATATGTCTTTGTGTTAACTCGTGCCATTTGCCGGGCCAAGTATCTGTCTCTTGCTGACATTACAGTTTCTTCGTTGCTCCGCTTTGCAAACTTGTTCACTGTCTCAGGTGGCCTCTCTTGCTCTTTGACTGTCTCCTGACATTCCTCGGAGATTCTGTGTTTTGTTCCCAGGGATGTTTCAGAAGTAGAGGGTTTCTCTGGGTTTCTTTCTTTGTCTTTCTCCATGTTTCTCATTTTATTGGCTCTTTCCTGGTTAAGAAACCTATCCTTTGCCCTAGAATTCGGGCTGCTTTCCTTTCTGTCTCGATTTCTTTCTGAAGATTGAAAACTTACTTCTCGTCTTTCTCTATCTCTGTATTTATCACTGTTTTCATATCTTTGTTTCCTTGCTTTCATATATTCTTCCTTTTCTTTGCTTTTCTCTTCCTTCTCTCCTCCTTTCTCACTGTGTTGGTCATAATCATTTCGTTGTCTATCTCTTCCTTGTCCTCTTGAGGGGTATTTCTCCCTGTCTTTCTCCCTTTTCCATTCCCTGTCATTTCTTTCTTTTGCATCTCTTCCCCTCAGTCTATCTTCCTGTTCATGCCTCTTCCAGTGGGAATCTCTGTAACTGGCCTCTCTGTGATTATGGGAATCCTTCCTTTCTTTTCGGTAATCCTGGTCAATGTAATAGTTGTCCTGGTCCCTGGATTGTCTCTCTTGGTGCTGATCTTCCCTTTTCTCATGTCCTCTTGACTTGGAACTTTTGGAGTGGTGTTTGGTACCATGCTCTCTTTCTTCACTAGATGACTGTGAGTGGGTATGATTTCTGTGATGCTTGGAGTCATTTTTTAAGGTCTCTGTGCCCTTTCCCCTTCCGCAGTTCGCTTGATTATTTCCTTCCATTTCATCATCCTCACTGCTCTTAGTATCAAAGTCACTGTCTGCATCTGGATTTTCCTCTACTTTCACAACAGTCTGGAGAATGCATTTCTCGTGAGGTATTCTATTCTCTGAACTAACTTCATCGGAATATCCCTTTGATTTCTCTTCTTTTATCCCAGACCTTAAAAATATTGTAACACAAAATGCCACATTATCAATTACAGCAAGCAAATGTAGTGTTCATATAATTTCTATCAATATTTAAGTCAATACCACTGCAATTATATACAGTATGATTATCCAAATTCAAAAAGTGCTGATGTCTACTCTGTAAACATCAACAAACTAGTATTTTCTAACCATTCAGAATATTTTCAATACTGGTAGAAATAAACATGTAAAAATCAGCCCTTCAGCATGGACCACTAGAATCTTTAGGCAGTGGTCTGTACAAGGTCTTCATTTTTGCCAAACACAGACAAAGAATAACTGGGAAGATACATTCTGGATCTAAGTACTAGTTTCACAACATGAAGTTGTGGCTCTTTGGTGGATTTTTTTCTTTCTTTATTTTTAAAAAAGTTTAAGAATAGTCCTGGAAAGGTGAAGATAAATTTTTTTCACATTTTTTCACATTTCAAAATGGTGCCAAATCTATTTCTAAATATCACTAAATAAGCCCTCACATGATTAAAAAGGCACTAGCATCCTGCTATACCCCTCAGCATCTATTACAACAAAATGGAAACATGTGAATCCATCCAGCTATTACAATCAATTACATTAACACTGTTTACATCACCTACATTTTCTCAGCTGGTAAGAATGGTTAATTTATTTACATTACTCACATTCATTCTTACTAACCACACAAACAAAGCAACAACTACGGTTGTCTAGGAACTGCTGGCAAAAGTGTCTTGGCTAAAGGACTCACTAATAGTTAGGAATTCTATTATCAGACTCTGGGAAGTGCAACTACCAAATGACATTATGGAGTTTCACGCTGGCCTCACAACTGTTCCAGATGAAACTCTAATTTTCCATTCAAAATCTCAATTTTCAAATATACTTATTAGACTCATAATTCGCATCAATTTGTAATCAAAACCTAGCAGTTTTGGGGTAATCCCTTCCCTTCATTCTTAATTCCATTCTCCTGCCTCTCCTCTTCCCCTAGCAACATAGACTCAAATCCCCTTATCT